GTGTCCCCAGTGATTTTGGAGTGCAAGAAAATAAAATCTGTCACTATTTGCACTTTTTTCCCTTCTATTTGCCATCAGGTGATGGGACCAGATGCCATGATCTTACTTTTCTGAATGTTGAGTTTTAAGCCAGCTCTTCACTCTCCTGTTTCATTCTCATCAAGAGGCTCTTTAGTTCTTCTTTGCTTTCTGCCATTAGATCAGAAGGCGGGTATCCATTTAAAGTTATAATAAATTGTCAAAGAGCTTTCCCAGGTGGTTTATTTCTCTCACACTCCCATCATCAGTGGATGGGAGTTGCAGTTGCTTCACATCCTCATCAGTACTTGGTGGCAGTCTCTTACTTTGAACTATTCCAGGGCTGTAAAGCACTATCTCCTGATGGCTTTAATTTGCATTCCCTCAGGCTAGAGATGTTTTCTGGCTTTCTGGCCACTCACATGTGTTCTTTTTTTTCTAGTGTCTGTTCAAGATTTTAGGCCATTTAAAAAATTGAATTGTTTTTAATTGTTGAATTTTAGAGTTCTTAAAATATTGTGAGTAAGTTCTTTATCACATATATACACTGCTCGTATTTTCTCCCAGTGTCTGGCTTATCTTGTTTTGAAATTATCTTTTTTAGGTGAGAATAGATTTAGATTTACAGAGACATTGCAGAGGTAATACAGTTCCCATATACCCCACACTCAATTTCTCATGTTGTTAATATCTTATGTTAGTATGGTACATTTGTCATAATTAATGAACCAATACTGATGCAGTATCATTAATTAAGTCCATATGTTACTCGTATTTTCTTGGTTTTTACCTAATGTCTTTTTTTCCTGTTCCAGAGCCCATCCAAAGTATCATATTTAGTTGCTCTGTACCCTTAAGCTTCTCTTGACTATGACCTTTTCTCAGAATTTTTCATCTTTTTGATGCCTTTGATAGTTTTGAGGAGTACTAGACCAGTGTTTTGTAGGCATTTCCTTTTTTATGAGTTAGACTGTGTTTATAGGATTTGGGGAGGATGATCACAAAGGTAAAGTGCCCATCTTAACCCCTCGTATCAAAGGCACATTCTGCTAACATGACTTATTGCTGATGTTAATCTTAATCATCTGGCTTGTGCTCTTTGTCAGGTTTCTCCACTGTAGTCATTCCTTCCTCTTTTGCATACCATACTCATTGGAAGAAAGTTACTCTGTCAGTTCACACTTCAGGGAGTATAAAGTTATCCTCCCATCTCCTTAAGGGTAGAGTATCCACCTTGATTTTTGGAATTTTCTGTACAGTTGGTTTGATGTCACTTATTCATTCAATTATATCAATATAGCCTCCTGTATGTTTATGTTTGTTTACTGTATCTTTTGGTTTATAATCAGTACTACTCTTTGATATTTTGCTCTTAATTATTCCAACTTTGGACATTGGGCACTCCTTCATTTGCCTCCTGTCCCCCTAGTATAATCCTATTTTGTAATAGTCACTGTTACTATTATTTAGCAATTCCTTACATTCTGGCATCATAAAATGCTCATCTTGTGTGTTTCTATCTCCATTTCTCCATTATTGGAGGATGTAATTAGAAATCTATAGCTGGTGTTTTGTTATTGCTATCAGATCCATTTAGTAGACAAACAGTATAATATATGTGTGTATAGGAACCCACTAATATATACATACCTAGGTCTAGACATCCAGCTATATCTGTATTAAGCTAAACATGAGTTCATTCTTATGCATCCACCTGTGATTCAGTATCACATGGATCAATCTAGGCTTTTCTTAGTGCTTGTCTGTGATCTCTCACTTAAGCAGAGAGAAACCTGGCTTCTATCATCAGCTATTCATTTACTAAAGTGTTTGATTCTAGTATACATGAATAGTGATTTCAGATGTGTTTGTCTGTACCCTTAGACTAGAGGGCAGTGGTTATGTGTAGTTCCTTTTGTCTTTAGTCTTACAAACTCTGCTTGTTTCCAAAGTTACTTAGGCCTGTATTTTCTTGCCTTAATTTCCACAGTTGCATACATTTGGAAAGCATATTCTCTTGTCATAGTCTGCATATCCATTCTGGGATTCCCTGGACTCCTAAATGACTTCTTAAAAATCTGCATACTTTAAAATTCAGTCCCCTCTAAAATTCCATGTGTTTTGACAAATGTGTAGGATCATGTATACACCATTACAGTATAATACAATATAGTTGAGTTGCACCAAAAAATCTCTTCCGCTTCACTGATACAGACCCCCTCCAAATCTTCACCTGTCACTGACCTGTTCACTGTCTCAGGTTTGTGTTTGTGATAACATTATACAAACAGAATTATACAGTACATAGGCTTTGAGACTGACTTCTTTCACTCACCAATACTGATCAGCAGTTAAGAATCTCCCCTGTCTTAAAGTGAGTTGATACCTCATTCTTTTTTAAAATCGCTGAATTGTAATCTATCATATGGATGTATTAGAGCTTGTTTATCCATTTCCTTATTGAATAATATCAGCTCCTTGCTGCCTGTTAGCTGAAGGCTTCCCTGAGTTCTTTGTCATGTAGGATACTGCATAGGGCAGCTTACTTACTCAAAACCAACAGTGAGTAAATCAATGGATAGGATAGAATCAGTAGAGAAAGTTATCTGACAAGAAGGAAATTATAGTTGCATGTAACATAATCAATGAAATGATTTCTCATTCACTTTGCCTTTTTCCCCTGCTTAGAAACAAATCATAGGTCCAGCCAACACTCCAAGGAGACTGTACAAGGACATGGGATATCGGGAGGTGGGGATAACTGGGGCCATCCTAGTGTCTCTTCTCCAAAGAAGCACTTTTTTTCAATCTTCTTAGCCTAGAGAATGATGATATAACTGAATAGGACAAATAAAAGCAATGACGTATGACAAACAAGGTGGAATCAGGATTTGATACTAAACCTGCACATTCATGTGGAGCAGAGACTGTCAAGAAGAAAGATTTGAGTAATAGACAGCCATCTGATAACAGTCCAATTATGGTCCAAAAAAGGACCTCGTTAATGTCCTGATGAGTGCATTCTCTTGGCAAAGCTCTATTAGCCTTTGCCCTGCTTCATTCTTTACTCCAAGGCCAAATTTGCCTGTTACTCCAGGTGTTTCTTGACTTTCTACTTTTGTGTTCCAGTCCCCTATAAAAGAAGGACATCTTTTTTGGGTGTTAATTCTTGAAGGTCTTATAGGTCTTGACAGAAATGTTCAACTTCAGGTTCTTCAGCATTACTGGTTGGGGCATAGACTTGGATTACCATGATATTGAATGGTTTGCCTTGGAAANGCAGAGGAACCAGAGATCAAATTGCCAACATCCACTGGATCATTGAAAAAGCAAGAGAGTTCCAGAAGAGCATGTACTTCTGCTTTATTGACTATGTCAAAGCCTTTGACAAACTGTGGAAAATTATGAAAAATATGGGAATAAAGACCACCTGACCTGCATGCTGAGAAATCTGTATGCAGGTCAAGAAGCAACATTTAGAACCAGACATGGAAGAACAGACTGATTCCAAATAGGAAAATGAGTACACCAAGGCTGTATATTGTCACTCTGCTTATTTAACTTATATGCAGAGTACATCATGAGAAATGCTGGTCTGAATGAAGCACAAGCTGTAACCAAGATTGTGGGAGAAATATCAATAACCTCAGATATGCAGATGACATTACCCTTATGGAAGACAGTGAAGAAGAACTAAAGAGCCCCTTGATGAAAGTGAAAGAGGAGAGTGGAAAAGTTGGCTTAAAGCCCAACCTTCAGAAAACTAAGATCATGGCATCCGGTCCCATCACTTCATGGCAAATAGATGGGGAAACAGTGGAAACAGTGACAGACTTTATTATTTTGGGCTCCAAAATCACTGCTGATGGTGACTACAGTGATGAAATTAAAAGACACTGACTCCTTGGAAGAAAACCTAGACAGCATATTAAAAAGCAGAGACATTGCTTTGCCAACAAAGGTCTGTCTAGTAAAAGCTGTGGATGGATATGAGAGTTGTACTGTGGAGAAAGCTGAGTACCAAAGAATTGATGCTTTTGAACTGTGGTGTTGGAGAAGACTCTTGAGAGTCCCTAACCCATCCCTAACTAGGAGATCTAACCAGTCCATCCTAAAGGAAATCAGTCCTGAATATTCATTGGAAAGACTAATGTTGAAGCTGAAACTCCACTTCTTTGGCCACCTGATGCAAAGAGCTGACTCATTCAAAAAGACCCTGATGCTGGGAAAGCTTGAATGTGGGAGGGGGAGGGGACAACAGAGGATGAGATGGTTGGTTGGCATCACCGACTCGATGTACATGAATCTGAGTAAACTGCAGGAGTTGGTGATGGACAGGGAGGCCTGGCGTGCTGCAGCCCATGGGGTTGCAAAGAATCGGACACGACTGAATGGCTGAACTGAACTGATGTCCTGACAGAGCACAGGAGTAGAGAATCCAGGCAGTTGGGGCAAGACCTCCCCATCCAAGGACTTGTCAGCATCTACCATGTCCTCTCAAGGCTTCCCAGATGGCTTAGTGCTAAAGAACCTGCCTGTCAAGCAGGAGACGCAAGCTTGACGCCTGGGTCAGCAAGATCCCCTGGAGAAGGAAGTGACAACCCATTCAAGCATTCTTGCCTGGAAAATCCAATGGACAGAGAAGCCTGGCATTCTATATTCCTTGGGGTCGCAAAGAGTTGGATACAATTGAGTGACTAAACAGCAACAACAAAGCATATTCTGTAAGGTGTGAGATTTCTCCCAGTTCTGCAGCTCTTGAACTTGGAGGAACATGAGGAAGCAGACAGTACTGGGCAAGATATCGAAGACATAGATCTTAGAAATAACAATTGTGCACAAATTGTTAGAACTAGGGCAGAAATTTCAAATGGATTGGGATAAGAACCATAGATATCAGCATTGGTGCAGGGGGTCGGAACCCTGGCCACCACTACCTTGGCCACTGCCCCTGCGGTCTCCTTCATCCCCCATTCCCCCCGATGGATGAGGAGCTCTCTGCAACCATATCCTATATCGAAGATGCTTTCTTCTGCCCCATCTGTCAGGAGGTGTTCAAAATGCCCATGTGTACCATGGCCTGTCCGCATGTTTTCTGTAGAAAATGTTTCCTTAGACAGATGGGTCATGGTGGTGAGTTCTGACAAAATGTGGTCTATGGTGGGAGTAGCAAACTACTTCAGTGTTCTTGCTTTAAGAGTCCCTTGAACAGAGAATACATTCTGGTTAACGGTAATTGTCATTACAGTTGGTTAAGGCTGGATGTGGTGTTTTTGTTAAAAAGTAGAATAATCAGATTTAAGTAACAGAATATATAGTATCTTTCTTTTTATTGTGTTGCATCAGGTTAGTATACTTTGTCTAAGGTAATTTGGTCTAGAAATAATCTAATCATGAAATTTGGCCCTTAGAAGTGCTTTATGTACAATTTTTTAGTAACATGTTTTAATGCTTTCAATAATAATGTTGAGTTATTTTCATTATTTTTTATTTGAAATATTCTGTTTCTTATAGACGTGTCCTATTTGTGTGTCTCTTCCTTGGGGAGATCCTAGCCAGGTTACTAGAAATTTTGTTAGTCATCTAAATCAAAGACATCAGTTTGATTATGGAGAATTTGTGGTAAGTGAATTTTTCAATATTAAGAAAATACTTTTTAAATATTGAAGTCACATTAACCTTTCAGTCTAGATGAGTTTTGAGGTGAAATACTGTATCATGTTGGATGAATATAGAGCAAGTTCTGTTGATTTTATAATAACATAGGTGAACTTTGGTTTGTATAAGTGGTGAATTTATTGTCCACATCCTATACTAGAGAGATTATTAATAGAGGACTAGCAAACCCCTGGATTAACAAGATGCTCATTTATATGAATATTATCTAGATTTAAGAAAAATTATAACTGCTAGAAAAGTAAAGTTGGCATGACAGAGGACGTATTTCTTGTGTAGTATAGCTTGTTAAACTCATAATATCTACATGTGAGAGACATTCTTTTTTAAAAATGCAGAGCTTATTTATTAAGTAATGAAAGGGAGAGTGTTAGTCACTCGGTTATGTCTGACTCTTTGCAGCCCCATGGACTGTAGCCCACCAGACTCCTCTGTCCATGGAATTGTCCAGGCAAGAATACGGAAGTGGGTCCCTTCTCTAGGGGATCTTCCTGACCCAGGGTAAAGTCAGGTTGAATAGTGGATTCTGGCCTTAGTTCACTGCTTTAACAGAGTACATGAGGGAAGTTATATAAAAATGGATCTCCAGAGCAAAGCATGAATTTAATTTTTACTTCCCAAATGTGTCTTGATAGTTTAAAAAAATTAGATGACTTTTATTAATTATGAATTTTCATTTTATTCATCTTCAGTGAATTAAAAGTCTTATTAAAATTCAGCCTGACAAAAAATGGTTCATATTTGTTTTCCTGTTTAGGTGAACACAGGCATGGGCAATTCTGAGATTGGCAGGAACAGAATTTACACATCCCTGCCCCTCAGTGTTGAAATTACATCATTCTTGATATATATTTTTATTTTGTGTAATTTGTACTTTTTAGTGATACCATATAAAAATGGTCAAATATATGTAGAATTCAGGTGTAGTCTGATAATTTTAACATTTTTATGGTGTGATTATAGATTATTCTGAATTCTCAATGTAAGAAAGGTTACTGCGTCTGGAGAATTATGTTTGGAAAAACAAAAATATATTTTGTGAACCACTTTCGATCTGATTGTCAGATTGTTTTAACTTGCCACAGAAGAGCATTTAATTTTAATTATTCGAGTTGTAAAAGAGGAGGCCTATTTTAAAGCAAATCCATGGACCATAATTGAAAGGAAACAGAATTTTTTAAGTTAAGGAGTAATAGTATAATCAGATTGAGTGGACTTTAGTTGTTATCTTTATATTATGATTAAGATGCTATTAATTCAGGTTAGCATCAGGCATGGTAACTCTCAAATTTCATTCTCTGCTGATCCTCTCTTTTGTTTTTATAAATAGTTTATATAAATAGTTTTTATATAAATAGTTTTATAAATAGTTTTTATAAATAGTTATAGCTGAATTTTAAAATTTTAGATCTTATATTTTAAGTTTATGTTGTAACATAAACAATTTCAAGTATATGTAATGTGTATCAAGATGTGTAATGTGTATCAAGATGTGTAATGTATTGGGCAAAGTATTGAGTAATTGAGTATGTTTTTTCTATTGACATGTTAATGTTACATTTTTAGAATCTTCAGCTAGATGAGGAAACCCAGTATCAAACTGCTGTTGAAGAATCTTTTCAAGTAAACATCTGAAGGCTGTAGACACCTCTGCATCTTTGTACCTGCAAGTGCCATCTTTAAGGAGAAAACTACAGGAAGTCACCATTTCAATAACTTGATGTGGATATGAATAAAAGTAATTCAGTCTATTGTTTAAATTTTTTTAATTGAAAAATAAAGGTAGGCCATGTAAAAACTTAATTGTTTTGATAAGTTAAAAGATAAAGCTTAGGACATTATCTTTACAAACATTAAAAGGATTATATTTCATTAATGGTGAAAAGAGAATCCCTATTGTACTTATCTTTTTTGCATTACATATTCTTGAATTTTTCCTTACTTTTGAAATTTGGTGCAGTTCCTCCCATTGACATTATTGTACACAGGTAACACAGTACNCCGTTCAACTTCAGCTTCTTCAGCATTACTGGTCGGGGCATAGGCTTGGATTACCATAATTTTAAATGGTTTGCCTTGGAAATGAACAGAGACCATTCAGTCGTTTTTGAGATTGCATCCAGGTGCTGCATTTCAGACTCTCTTGTTGACCATGATGGCTACTCCATTTCTTCTAAGGGATTCTTGCCCACAGTGGTAGATATAATAGTCATCTGAGTTAAATTCACCCATTCCTGTTCATCTTAGTTTGCTGATTCCTAGAATGTCGATGTTCACTCATCTCCTGTTTGACCACTTCCAATTTGCCTTGATTCATGGACCTGACATTCCAGGTTCCTATGCATTATTGCTATTTACAGCATTGAACCTTGCTTCCATCACCAGTAACATCCACAGCTGGGTGTTGTTTTTGCTTGAGTCCATCCCTTCATTCTTTCTGGAGTGATTTCTCCACTGATCTCTAGTAGCATATTGGGCACCTACCGTCCTGGGGAGTTCATCTTTCAGTGTCTTATATTTTTGCCTTTTCATACTGTTCATGGGGTTCTCAAGGCAGGAATACTGAAGTGGTTTGCCATTCCCTTCTCCAGTGGACCATATTCTGTCAATAACTTTAGTGCTTTCTTTCAAAATTTAGTACTTCCAGTATGTCAAGTTAAACCATTCCGAGATTTGAGAACGACTTTAAAGGAAAATTGTAGAGATCATCTTGATGAAATTGTGTTTTGAAGTTTGTGGTTTAGTTAAATATCATTTATTGTCTTACATGTCTTTCATGTAAGTTTTTTCATAAGGAAAATATTGACTTTATTTGCTGTTGTCTGGGAGCTCCTCAGTATGGAAATCTTTATTTAAAACCTCCCATCCTTTGATCAGTGGTTTAGGAATAGGGATTGGCTTTAAAGGTACACAGTTCCAATTAATGAGACAGTCCTTGTTTTTAATATGCAAATGGCTGAGTTGGGGAAAGGGGGGAAACTGTGTTGATAGTTTATACCTAAATTTCACAGTACCACTTAACAGGCCTCAGCAGTTACAATTTATGTTGTTAAACAGAGTCTTATTTGCGATGTATTTCTTTATTTTCAATTAAGCATGGTTTTCTCCACCCCCCCCCTACCAGAAAAAAGAATCATAGATCTCATGCCTAAATTACAAGGTCAAGACAAGTTTAGCTGTATTATGAAGTGCCTGAGATTCCCAAGTTCTTCAATTTCTCTTGCCCTTGGACAGGATTGAGTCTAGAATCTGGAATGAAATTAAATCCACAGTTATAAGGAGAAGGAGCTTTAGAAACACCCTGATCTGTTGTCTGGTAGCTCCTCTGGGGCCTCAGGGAGATTGCAACGGAAGCAGCCTCCCTTTTAACTTCCTTTTTTCTCTCTTTGACATACTGTCTCCAGGGCCTAAATATATTTCCCCCAGCTCCCAAGGGCTTTTCTATTTTAAGCTGTCTTTCAAATAGTGGAATAAAAGGTCTTATAAAGCTATTTTATCAAGTGTTCACACAGCAGGATTTTCAAGCCCTGCAATTTAATAGCAATCAGGCAGAAAGCTAGTTAACTGGTTAACAGACATTTTTTAATGGAAAAGTTACCCTTAAATAAGGTATCAGGGTTATAAGAATGCATTGCCAAACAGGTATATTGTCATATACCTGTTGCGTGCTTAGTAAGTATTACAGTCTTCAGTGAATCATAACTTGATAGGAACCCCTTAGGGCTGCTACTTAAAGAATAAACCCTCTCTGGAGGTGGTGATATTTGTAGAAAAGGTGTGGCCCAGAATACATGTGAATACATACAGTATAAAACTTCTAATAGAAATATGAATTAAAAACTCATTCTGTGATACCACTTAGTATGCAATGTAATTTTCTAATTAGGCAGTGCAGTTCTGAAAAAGATGGGGAATAGAAATGAGTTTTATCAAGGGATTAAAAGAGGATACAGAGAATCCCATAAGTCCTCTTACTTGAGTGACAACTTGCCACTAATATCACAAATTGTTTTGTCTGTTTTTATACTCTTACAGGGGGAAGCACTCAGTAAAGATTGTATCCAGCTACTTTTGTTCAATATTGTTTTGAAATTTCTAGATCAGTTTTTAGGCTGATCAATAACTTGTCTTTTGTCCAGAACAGAAAAGCTAAAAAGTTGCTTCTAAAGCTACTTTTAAATATTTGTGTGTGAAAATTAACTGAATTACAAGTGGTTCTTTTTTCATGTATGTTGACTCCTAGTGGTTCCACATCTAGATAAAACCTGAAAACTGACTGGTCTTCCTTTTGTAATAACTGGAAAAACAGGTGAAGAGTGTAACCAAATGGTTTTCCACTGAAACCAGGTAAGAACCTGACTTTTCTCATACTGTTTTCAAGGGCATTTTGTTAGAAACAAGATTTTAATAAATATGTCAGGACTGTATTTTCTGGCAGTAGTGTGTAACACTACCAATAGAAGCTTAAAAAGGGCTGCTGCAGTTGATACAGAAGAAGGGAGTAAATGTATGTTCATGGGATAGTATAAAAGCTCTTAAAACAACCAAGCCTAGTTTCTTGGACTAGGTAGCCTGGTTTTGATGGTTCTGCAAGTTGATACACTTCCTGTGGTTTGGAACAAATTGTGTAGCCTCTCACCTCTGGACTGTGGAGATTAGGAGTTAATATGCAGAGTTCTTGAAATAGAGCCTGTTGTCTTTACTATTACTGTGTATTCAGTACAAATTAACAGTTATGTTTACATCTGGCAGGTCTCTTCAATTTCTGTAAAATTTTGTTTGTAAAATCTGGATTTTTGGTTTGTTTTTTACAATTTTTTAAGGATTTATTTATTTTTTTATTGAAGGATAATTGCTTTACAGACTTTTGTTGTTTTCTGTCAAACCTCAACATGAATCAGCCATAGGTATACATATATCCCCTCCCTTTTGAACTTCCCTGCCATCTCCCTCCCCATCCTACCCCTCTAGGTCGATACAAAGCCCTTGTTTGAGTTTCCTTAGCTATACAGAAAATTCCTGTTGGCTATCTATTTTACATATGGTAATGTAAGTTTCCGTGTTTCTCTTTCTATACATCTCACCCTCTTCTCCCCTCCCCCCATGTTCACAAGTCTATTCTCTATGTCTGTTTCTCCATTGCTGCCCTATAAGTAAATTCTTCAGTACCGTTCTGTATATATGCGTTAGAATACAATATTTATCTTTCTCTTTCTGACTGACTTCACTCTGTATAATAGGCTCTAGGTTCATCCACCTCAGAACTGACTCAAAGGCATTCCTTTTTATGGCTGAGTAATATTCCATTTTGCATATGTACCACAACTTCTTTATCCATTGATCTGTTGATGGACATCTAGGTTGCTTCCGTGTTCTACCTATTATAAATAGTGCTGCAGTGAACAATGGGATACATGTGTCTTCCAATTTTGGTTTCCTCAGGGTATATGCCTAGGAGTGGGATTGCTGGGTCATATGGTGGTTTTATTCCTAGTTTTTTAAGGAATCTCCATATCATTTTCCATAGTGGCTGTATCAATTTACATTCTCACCAACAGTGCAAGAGGGTTCCCTTTTCTCCACACTCTGTCCAGCACTTATTCTTTGTAGACTTTTTGTTGATGACTGTTCTGACCAGTGTGAGGTGGTGTCTCATTGTAGTTTTGATGTGCATTTCTCTAATAACAAGTGATGTTGAGCGTCTTTTCATGTGTTCATTAACCATCTGTATGTCTCCTTTGGAGAAATGTCTGTTTAGGTCTTTTTCGCACTTTTTGATTTGAGTTTTTTGTTTTTCTGGTATTTAGTTGTATGAGGTACTTACATATTTTGGAAATTAATCCTTTGTCAGTTTCATTTGCTATTATTTTCTCCCATTCTGAGGGTTGTCTTCATCTCCAAGAAGTACAAATAATCCAGAAAAAGAAATTTTAAATAAAAAATATCTTTAATCTTTATAAAGAATAATCAGCTGATTGTCATCCTGTTGAGAAGAAAAATGTACAATATTTGTAATATTAGCAGATGACTTGAATAGCTTTTATATGATTGCCTAGGTTATTCGGTTGTCTCTTTAAGACCCCCCCCTTTTTTTTGTAAATTTTTTTGATGTGGACCATTTTTAAAGTTTTATTGAATTTGTTGCACTATTGCTCCTGTTTTATGTTTTGGCTTTTTGCTACAAGGCATCTTGGGCTCCCTGATCAGGGATTTAATCCATAACCCCTGTATTAAAAGGTGATGTCTTAGCCACTGGACTGCCAAGGAAATCACTAACCTTTAAGGTTTTAAATTGTTTTTCTGACCTTTTTGAAAAGTTCATGAATGTTAGTTTAGTATTACTTTATACCAACCATTTTCTGTTTTCAGAGAGACTGTCAAGCTCATTATATTAACGTTAATATTTTTAGTGGAAAATAACTTAAGAAATGTTTCATTGAGAGTAGTGGCATTGTTTGGCATCTTAACAGATCTCTTTTAATATCTTATTAATGAAAGACTGCACTTGGGTGTTAACCGCTTAGTCATGTCCGACTCTTTGTGACCCCGTGGACTGTAGCCACCTCTGTCCTTGGGAATCTCCAGGCAAGAATATTGGAGTGGGTAGCCATTCCCTTCTCCAGGGGATCTTCCATACCTAGGGATCAAACCTGGGTCTGCGGCATTGCAGGCAGATTCTTTACCGTCTGAGCCACCAGTGAAGTCCCTGCACTTGAATTCATGATGTGAAAACTAGTATGTTC